CTTGTTTGGACAAAACTGCTCCTGATAAGGCACTCCTCTGTGCCAGAAGGGATGCATCACTTGCTGGCTGAGATCTCATGGACACTGGAAAGACCTGCAGAGTCTCAGGTCAAACACTACAGTCCAGGAAAGACAACCCAGACAAGGCAAAGCAGCGTGTCTGGCTGTGGGCTGCTTGGATGGCCTATCTTGAAGGAGTTTTCAAAGCAGAAAGGTTGGCAGCCAGATTTTGATTCTCATCTGACTTCCTGTGCATGAGGGATGCACTACATCACTCAATGCTGTTATCAATGATGTGCTCTTGAAAAATCATAGAGATACATCACTCTAAGGTTAAAACATGAGAGCAGGCTGCACTTGTAGAGGAACATGTAGAAATTCAAATCTAGTGTGGGAATAACTTCCAGGAAAAAAATAGGTAGTAGGAGGCCGAGATGAAGAAAAAGAATCTGATGCACAAGCTAGATTATTTACTTTCCTTCCCATTGGTGCTGTTTTCTAGAGTTTCTAGGTCAGAAAACAATATGGGACAACACTGTTACACTGCAGTATCTATTATCAAGACCTCACCACAAAACAGGTGGCACAAAGCAGTCTAATAGTCAAGTCTGTTGGAATGAAAATCCAAGGGAAGGAGTCAACAACTCAGGTGTTTGTTCCCAAGATACATGAAAGCTGTGTGATGAGTAGATTTCATCCCATGTGTGGTGGCAGGGTGGCATAAATTAGGAAAGGACCCCCTTTCAGCTAATTGCTTATACAATTCCTCATACTTATTATACACTCCACAGTGAGTGACTGCAGAGCAAGAGGTGAGATACAAATCTACCTAGGTTCCATTTTGCTGAGTAGGAAAGGAGTTGTCATTTTCTACAGAGTCATTTCTCTACTGCTGGCTGAGTAGGAAACACAGTAGTTTCAGGAACTCTTGCTGAAACTCAGAGTGATAACTCTAGGTCTGTCTCCAGCTCTGCCAGAAGGCAAAATTAAATGTTAATGTTTTTCCTGCCTGTAAGTGAAAGATAAAAAAGAAAAAAAAAATGGATAGCACATCTCCAGTAACTCATTAATCCAGATGTTTTCCTCTATGGTTTAAACTACTGGCAAAATAAAGAACTGAACAGGACTAGAGTTAGGAGGGAGTTGTGTCTTTCAGGTCTCTGGGACTTGCTACACTGTTGTCCGTATCACATTTAGCATTCTGTCTATGATCAAACTTACATATCCTCACTACTGGAGGTACTGGACTTCAGCTACTTTGCAATTGCATTACATAATTGCATAATTGCATTAAGACTTTTCCATCGGGTTTAAAACAAGGCTACAGCAGGGAACAGAGCTGGGAAACCCGTTATTACATACTGCTGTGAATTATTCCCATGTCTTTGGGCATTATTCTAGGAGGTTATAGTCAGATCTGAATCAGACTACAACCCTAGTGAAAAAACTTCCCCAAAACATTCGGAATACACTCATGCAGACGCAAATGGCAGCGCTAATATGGGAATGTGCTGGTATACCACTTTCTACTCATGAACTCAAAATAGCTCTTCAGTACCTAATTTCTCTGTGAAAGAAATGTGGGGGGAAAGTCAATTTTTTCCTCACTATAAAGTGTATGTTTCTGAACAGCTGGGATGGTAAGCAGAATGTGCTGCCTTAAACTGCTATCCTCATGTTTATGCTGCTGGATACATATGGCAGCACTCCCCAGGGCACTTTCAGCAGAGGCAGTGTCCTTTTGCTCTGCTATCTGGATCAATACCCAGCTCAATCATTAGTTTACATGTTGAGCTGTCTGCTCCAAAATATGTTTGCTTCAAAGCGTATTTGCCTTCCCTACCAAATAGTCCTGATTTTACATACAAGGCTTGCTTCTCGTCTTAAGAAAAGTACCTCTGGACACCAAGTGATGAGAGCAGATGGCATCCTCTAGACCTGTTCCAATGGAGTGACACATGATTGTCACCTCTGGCTACAGGGAGAGGGAGAGGAGGGAGAGGGGAAAGGGAAGGTGCGGGAAGGTAAGGAAAGGAAAGGAAAGAGGAAAGGAAAGGAAAGAGGAAAGGAAAGAGGAAAGAGGAAAGAGGAAAGAGGAAAGAGGAAAGAGGAAAGAGGAAAGAGGAAAGAGGAAAGAGGAAAGAGGAAAGAGGAAAGAGGAAAGAGGAAAGAGGAAAGAGGAAAGAGGAAAGAGGAAAGAGGAAAGAGGAAAGAGGAAAGAGGAAAGAGGAAAGAGGAAAGAGGAAAGAGGAAAGAGGAAAGAGGAAAGAGGAAAGAGGAAAGAGGAAAGAGGAAAGAGGAAAGAGGAAAGAGGAAAGAGGAAAGAGGAAAGAGGAAAGAGGAAAGAGGAAAGAGGAAAGAGGAAAGAGGAAAGAGGAAAGAGGAAAGAGGAAAGAGGAAAGAGGAAAGAGGAAAGAGGAAAGAGGAAAGAGGAAAGAGGAAAGAGGAAAGAGGAAAGAGGAAAGAGGAAAGAGGAAAGAGGAAAGAGGAAAGAGGAAAGAGGAAAGAGGAAAGAGGAAAGGAAAGGAAAGGAAAGGAAAGGAAAGGAAAGGAAAGGAAAGGAAAGGAAAGGAAAGGAAAGGAAAGGAAAGGAAAGGAAAGGAAAGGAAAGGAAAGGCCCTTTGCACACTCTAATATGTACAAAAATACTTTCCTACTCTAAAATACAGACTTAATTTTTGTCTGTGCCATGACCTGCCTGTTAAAGTTGTTACAGACTATGACAAGGCCTATTAAGAAGCCAAATAAAAACACAAATTTCACCTTTTCTCTATGTTGACTCATACCTCTGAGAAAAGCCTGTTTATATCAGATAAAGACTGATTTTTCTATTTATAATCCCATCTCAGCCTGAAACAGTTCCACTCTAACAGTATTTCTACCTACGCTATTTATAGTTTTACCAATGGTTTACATCTAACCCAGCAAGTCAAACTCCAGATTGTTCCATTCAAGACTTAAACTCACAAGTTTAAGGTTTTAACTAGACCTTTGTTTCACTCAAGTCCGCTATAACCATATTCACCTTTTCCAACATTCCCTTTCAAAAGCTTGGGAGACAGTTTTCTAGCAAGAAGAGGGCATACAGGACAATTTTGTTTCCTGTCCCATGGAATTTTCATATTTTGGCTTTTTGTAGGGACTCTATGTACCTCTTATTCTTCACCTTACTACTAAGTAATCTTAACTCCAAAAGTTCTTGATACTGTTCAAAAATAAGGAACATTTCTCCTCAAACTCCTCCTGCAATCCTCTAGGAAATCGTAATCTAAACAAAGAGTCTCCAAACTCAAAACTGTCTGTGAAGAGAAGTTGCCAGAAGCCAAGCTCTAGACGTTTAGCTAATCTGTTGTAAAAACAAACCCACCCACAACTGTAGCAGAATGTCACACTGTTGCTTTTTCCACTTATAGTGACAAAAAACATCTTACAGTCACTACAACTAAATGTTCAAGAAGATGACTCATTTCTTCATAAATATCGTTACAAGAACAGGAGAGATGATTCTTTTCATGTGGAAGATAAGAGCATTCATAGTGAATACCCATTCTGTCCAATCTCTACTGAATATGACTGATGTCTTAAAAAATAAAAAGGGTTGATAGATGCCTAATTGCTGCAATAACAAACAGAAAATAAAAAATTATGCAATAATTGCAGGGAGCAGTAGTCCAAAAATCTGAAGAACAAAGCTAAAGGCATCAACAACACAGCCTAAGTGTTCTGAAGTAGACTTTGAGTTTACTGTTACAAAGATAAATTACTATGAGAATCATAGAGGTGTATGAACCATACAGCTAGAAATACAAAATTTTACAGCTGAGAAAAACATGCAGGAGGGGAAAAGGATTAGAAACTACAAGGATTAAATCAGCTATTCATAAATGCAGTAGCAATTAGCAACTTAGAAGTCCTCTGAATTAATGTAGACCAGCATATTGTAGGAACATAGAGAGATGTCCGAGAGTCTGTACAGCAAGTTACTTGATGCACATCCAGCACTCTCACTCAGCAGCAGTAGGGAAAAATTGGAGAAGTAAAGTAAACAAGGAATGACTGAAGTGTTAATTCTCTAACTATTTAAGCCTATACATAAATAAATAAAAAAATTTTGGGCTGCAAGTGTTGTGGTAAAGTTTCTATAAAGATAACATAAAAATATGCATAAAAACAATTCTGTAATTATAAGGAAATGGAAAATGTGTGGTCAAAACAATCAGCAAGCTGAGTCAGTGTCAAGTGGGGATTCAATTGGCAGGATATTTTTTCTGTACAGCTTTGTACCATGAATCCCATTTTAATATTGTTGGATGTTACAAGGAAGCTGGAGTGGGACTCTTCATTAGAAGCTTAGTAGCAGTAGAAGAAAGAGGTTCAAACCGGAAGAGGGAGAATTTAGGTCAGATATTGTGGAAGAAATTGTTCCCTGTGAGGGTGGTGAGGCACTGGAACAGATTTCCCAGAGAAGCTGTGGATGCCCCATCCCTGGCAGTGTCAAAGGCTGAAGTTGGACTAGGGCTCTGAACAACTTCATCCAGTGGAAGATGTCCCGGCCTATGTAAGGGGGCATGGAACTAGGGGATCTTTACAGTCCCTTCCAACACGAGCCGTTCTATGATTCTATATTTATTCTTTTGACAGAGGAAGAATAATTTGGCAACACGTAGTATAATTACATTTTAATGAAATATTGAAGTTCTTCTTAAAGTGTTACAAAGATATAATACATTCATAATATAAGTGTAAAGGCTCAACATTAAAATGAAAAGACTTAGTAAAAAATATAGATCAGAAGTTACTGCAGCCAAACAAACTCATTGCAATTACATTTATGTTTTGTTTGTTTTGTTGTTTTTGGGGTTTTTTAAAAGAAAACCAGCTATATTGACTGGCACATATAGACAAGATAAAACACAGCAAGAGTTTTTTCCCTCCATGAAGTAATCAATCAAGTAGTACTGCAACAAACACTGATTTCATGCACAAGTGTAGAGAGGATCTTAAACTCTGCATATAGTACTAATTTCAGCTTTTGTACAGCCCCATTTGCAACACATTCCTGCCAAACCCAGAGACTCCCGTTTTCTTCTGGGATACCTGGCCCAAATGTAGCTGCTTAATTCCATGGGATTTGCATTTTCTGTTCCCCCCCTGTCCTTCTGAACAGCTTCCTCTACCTGGCGAACAAGTTTTTTTAAGTCGCCTGCCAAAGGTACATATTCATTATAGTAATTTAAACTATACAAGTCCTTAAATGTTTCCCATCCAAGAAATGGGCTGCTTTTCTGCAGCTGCTCTGCTTCAGGATCCAAAACTGATTGCAGGTTGAAGCTTCCCAGTAGTTTGTTACTTGCTGTTTGTGCAGAATCTGTTTTAAAGAGAAGAATTATCTTAAATTCAGATTGTAGGAGCATCAAAAGGATTACACAGCTCTAAGAAACAGCAACAAAACCCACCCAGTGAGTAATAAGTGAGACACTTATGAAGGAGAATTGTCTGTATTTGAGTCTCCACACCATGACTTACCTGTAGCTCACTTTTAGCTGAATCTACGTTTCAAAGTCTATACCTCCTGTTAGACATGCAGAGTACACAGAAACAGCTGTAACTGAATAAAGGCATCCTGTCACAACTGCAGCGTTATTGATAGAGAAGTCTCAATTTTCCACAGAAACAGAATTTTCTTGCAAAGACATGTATCCAGAAACACCACTGAGCCATGTGTCCGATGAATTAGATCAGACCCCTCCTGTCCTGTGCACATACAAACTTGCATCGTGTGAAGAACAAATGTAGCAAGGACTAAATAAGCAAAGATTGCATGTAAACTGATTCTTAGATTGCATTTTTCTGTAGCTGTTTTTAAGTGATGCTTTTCACTCATTTCTTTCACTTCTCAAGGCATATCTGGGGCTTGCAGAATTTACTTATGGCATGCCTCATCTGACTAAAGTGTTCTCAAAAACCCAGCCCTAGTTCATTATACCTTACACTGTTTTTCCCTTGATTTTACTTCTGCGAAGCAACTGGCATTGCTTACTTCAACTAATGTGAAGAAAAGCAGCTTCTTCAATTCTTAATTTTAAAGTAATCCAAAATAAGTCATTGTCTTGTGATCTTTATGCTGTTGATATAGTTATTTTTTTGTTCTGAAAGTACATGAGAACATCCAGCAAATTTCATATTTACTTAAATATGGCTAATTAGTATATAGAACCTAATTTTCATATAATTCTTCATCTTTTCATCACCTATTTTCAGAATGGTTACCCAAGTATGTGCAAAAATACAGCCACTTGTTGTAGCTACTTTATTAATTAGACTGTGACTGCTATTTAATAGTCTTTTGGGATTGAGAAGTCTTCTGAGACATCATGCAGCATAGTGGAGGCTCCTTAGTGACTGTTGTTCTCAGAAGCTGCTGTTAATAAAGAGGAAAGCAAAATTTGCTGGGAAAGAGCATAATCCCCACAGAGGCTGTATGTAAGTTACTTGTTATCATTACAAAGTTTATTTTTATCTTTTACTCAGCCTGTTTGGGGGGGGGGAGAAAAAGGCAAAAAATTCTCAGAAAATCCAGAATGCTGGCTTCATTAGTTACCTTAAGTCTTAGGTTATTTCACTAAAGTGTGTTTAATCAGAAAAATAGAGAATCTCTTCCATTGCACGTTTTAGCCATAATTCCAGTTTTTGTCTTTTTAAAAAAAACATTATTTTTTCAGTAGTAAAAATATCAAAATAAATTAATCACTTAAATTGCTGTTACATTACCACAGTTGGACAACACACTTACAATTTCTTAATATATCAGGCTTGGGGCACGCGGCAGCAAAACTACGAGGGATGTTTTACCCAATCATAACTGTTTCACCATACAGCTGTTCTTGCCGTGCCGATCGTAACCTGAAGCACCAGAGTCCATCCTCCCACGTGCCAGCTCCTTGATGCAGAGCAGCACAAGAGAGTATTGACAACATCTCCCGCGATTCCCCACCCGCCGCGGTCCCGCACATCCCGGGAGCTGCCGGCCGGGAGGGAGCCCCCGGCACGAACCCCGCTCCGTTCCGCCGCCCGAGGAATTACGGAGCCTTGGGAAGGGAGAGATGCCATAGCGACAGGCATTCTCCACAGCTCCCCGGGGCGCATCTGTCCTCCCCACATGGCCAAGACAGGGGAGAAGTGCGCTTTTGTGGGATTTTATAGCAGAAGCTCCTCTGCAGCCGGCAGCCCCGCGCAGCCGCGCGGCATCTCCGAACTGCGAAAACTTCGCGGATTATGCCGGCAAATAATGCCCCAGCGCTTGCCGTCCCTTTCCCTCTGAACCTCAGGGCGTCCTTCCAAAAGTCTTGGAAATGCCAACTAGGATCTAGAGGGAGAGCGAGAGAGGGACGGGGACCTTCCCTCCGCGACTCCGGGCGGGAGGAGCCAGAGGCTCCGCGGGGCGCTCGCCCTTCCCCGTTCCCTCCCGCTCTCCATCTCTCCTGGCAGGCCATGGGCTCGGCAGCGAGCCAAGCGCCCCGACAGCCGCCTGCCCCTCGGCCCCGCTCCTGGGACACTCACCGGCCGCGGGCGCCGGCTCCACCGCCAGCAGGGAGAGCCGCTTCCAGCGGGACCCTCCGCAGGTGAAGATGACGGCGCGGATGAACTCGCGGCCGCACAGCTTCACCCCGTAGCCGTCCCCCTCTCCCGCGGGGGGCACGGCTCCGGGCTGCCCCGGCGGGGCCGCACACAGCAGTGCCACGGCGGCGCACAGCAGTCGCAGCTTGGCCATCCCCATCGCGCCGTCCCGGTCCCGCGGGCGCCTTCCCAGCAGACCCGACGGCCTCCACAAAGCCCCCGACGGCGGCGTCCAGCCCAGCCCCGCCGCTGCCCGCCGCTCGCCTTTTATGCGCTGCGGGAGGCGCTGAGTCACCGCCCCGGCCCCGGCCCTGAGCCCCCTCCCCTTTCCCGGTGCCTCCGCTGTCGTCCCCCGCCGGGCGGTCCCTGTGCCTGAAACAGCCGTCGAGGAGCCCTCGGGCAGCGCCTTCCCCTCTTTCTGCCCTAGCTAGCTGTGGCAGCTGTTCACGCAGCCTTGCACCTCACCTTCGGCTGCCCTCCTCGGGCTCCCGGCCTCCACCTCCCCGGAGACACGCTCCTTTTCGTCCCGCTGGGTCTGGACCTCAGCTGTTCCTGTTCGCGGCCAGATGGCAGTGCCGATGCTCTTTGGTATTGCTTTGAAAAAGTGAAAAACTTAATCTCGACTGTTTTTCCCCTTGCAGGTCTAGAATCTCCATAACTACCTCTGTGTCCTAAAAACGTTGGCTGACATAAAAAGACAGAAACAAGCGAAATAAAAGAAATGCACCCTCAAGGAAGTACTTCAGCTGTGGGTACTTGAAGGGTGATTTCGAAGCCTGGATTCCTCTCAGGTTTGTTGTACTGGAGGCCTCAGTTCAGTGGCAGCCATAGGAATCCAAGTGTCTAGAGATACCCTGGCTCCAATGTAGGCATCCTAGAAATTTGAAGCTCCACACATCTCTATGTCTCCCACATAGGGCCCAGCAGGCTCTTGCTGACAAAGGTGGTGGTCTTTGGACTCCATGCAGAACAATGCACTCTGTGGAAGTAAAATTTTCCTCTGGATTTGTTTGTTCACTTGTGGTTGGCTGTTTTTATTTTTTCCAGCACAATAGGACAAGAAGTGATTGCTGCCACCTTTTATAAAAAGTCATACTGTAGAGAATCAGGAAAGTTCATCTCTCTTGAAATACTCTGAAGATGTTGTTTACAGATCATGTTGCATGAGGGCTATGCTTTCAATCCCTTGAGTATTGTTGGCATATTAAAAAAAACCTCAAAACTCAATCTAGAAGGAGAGCACACAGAAGACATAAATTTACAGACATGTAGAAAGACATGCAGAAAGGTGCATGATCGTGCTAGCAGAGAAGTTATAGATCCCATTGTGCTCCTCAAGGAGGACTTGGATGTTTTACATTGAGCTGGACCTAGAACAAGGCTGTGGAGGGCTAAAATAGTGAGTAAAGTTGTTGTGCTTGAACCCCATCCAGCCACCAAGCCCCACACTGCCACTCGCTCATTCCCCTGTTAGTATGACTGGGGAGAGACTTAGAAAAGTGAGAAAAATCATCACAGTTTAATAGGGAAAGCAAAACTTGCACACAGAAGCAAATAAAAATAGGCATTGATTCAGTGCTTCCTGTGGGCAGGCAGGTGTTCAGCTATCTTGGGAAGACAAACGCCATCACTCCAAATGAACCCTCCTTTCTCCTTCTTCCTTTCCCCCCCCACTTCATATACTAGCATGACATCCCTTTGCTCATTTTGGGTCACCTGTTCTCGCTGTACCTCCTTCCCAAGCACCCCCAGTCCCCTCACCAGTGTGGCAGTACCAAAAGCAGAAAAGACCTTGGCTCAGCAATAACAAAAACATCTATTATCAACTCTGTTCAGCACAAATCCAAAACACAGACCAACACTAGCCACCGAAGAAAATGGACTCCACTTCAGCCAAAACCCAGACACTTTTCTTTTTGGTCCAGTCTTAATTGTTTAAACAGTGGTACCTCTTCAACAGTAGGCACCATCATCCAGAGCGTTGCTAGGATGCGATCCACAGAAGTGGAGGCTGATAATTTGAAACTCCCTAAAAACAAAACCTTGATCTGTTCCTTGCTCAGCTGAAGTCTTACCTATAACTTCTGCTACAGACAGAAGTTGTGCAACTGTGATTGCAACTTGCATTTTGAGAGCAGCACCTTGATTTTGTTGGTCTCGTGGACTTTTTCTGAAAATACCATCACATCAGGCAGACTTCTGCATGGACTGTAAGTAGTCTTCAGACAACAGATTTGTTTTCAGTGACTAGAAAGCTGTAGTAATGTGAAAAAGCACTACCAGGAGAAGGCAAAAAGAAAAGTACCTCCTGAGTTGGGCAGTGACTAGAAAAACTACTACTCAAAACAAAACATGCAGAAGATTAATAATATTTAACAAATCTGAAGTAACTATGTAACTCAGTGTTTTTTTTATAAAGAAGGAAAAACAACAGCAGAGCAAAGAAACTAATATCCATTCATGATCTATAGGATGTTTCAAGGCAAGTACATCCAGTGAACTGGCTCAATGCAAGTATTTTGTGTCTTTTAATTTCTAAAAAAAAAGTAAAGATAATTGTAATATTTCTCTCTTGCACTAAATTATTAATCTGTTGAGCAATAGCAAAGGTTATAGAAGGTAAAGGAGGTTTCAGGAAAACTTGGTACTAAATAAAAAAGATATCCTTTAACAATACTTCAGTAGCCTTGAATACCTTGAATTAAAGCCGTATTCCCATGACTCCCAAATGTCAGACAAAGAAAATAGGCAATAAGACAAAAAAATTACTGATTTCATTAGACATTTTCCAGAGACTTCGTTTCAAATTCATGCAATTCACTGCTGCAAGAACAACTTAGTTTTTGAAAGCTGTCCAAACGTGAATTTAAAGTATTTCTAAAATTTGCTTAGTACCATACAGGATTTTGCAAGAAATGGGAAATACTCCTGCATCAATGTTATTGGTGACCAAGCACAAGCATTGTTTCTTTCAAGCCCAGTTACTTTCATTAGAACATTGTGCAGTTTAAAAAACAGCATATCTTAAGAAGGTTCATAATTAAAAAGAAATCCATGCATTTTTCCATAATGAAGTCCAAGTCTGATTAAAAAAATAAATAATAATGCAGAAAGAGTTTTGTTTCTGTCTTTCCATGTAAGTGCTTTCCCCTTCTTTTAAAAGCAGTGACAGCAGTCAGCAATAAAAAACTCCAAAGCATGTAGGAAGGGGCCCAAACTGGACTGTCCAAAGTGACTTTGCTTGTTTCTCCTCTATATATATATATATATCTCAATACATATATATGAGGTGTATATATATCCTTATATACACTATCACAACCAGATAAACAAGAGTGAGGTGAAGGCACTTGTGGCTTGCAGGTGGCATGCACTTCCTTGGGTTCCATAAATGAGACACATCCGTAATTAGAACACAGCTTAATTTTGACATCCTAATCATGACTGACTTCTCACTTTTCCAGAACAATCCTGCTCCAAATGATACTGATTCAGGATATATGGCTATCAGACATTATAACCAAAAAAACCCAACAGAATTTAGGTGGGAAGAGTAGTGCCTTCAGGCCAGAACAAGCTCCCCCTGGAATTGCTCTCCTTTTTTTCCCCAGTGATTCATGGAAACAAAGACAGTTGTTGTGATTTATTGAAGTAAGTCTAAAAGCAGAGGCCAGTTGAGCACAAATGACAGAAAAGGAGCAGGAAGTTTTAGGTGCTTTATTTATTTCTATAACAAATATCCCGATTATGGGCAACATGTGCTGTAAACACGTATTTCCCCATGTAAATCTTGTCACTGATAAACTCCTGTTTTCTTTCGTTGTCCTCTGAAGGAAGTTACACCATTCAATTATTCTGTATCTGTCACTATGTGACAGATATGACTGCGCACAGCACATGCAACCCTTTTGATTAATACACTGTCAGTAGAATAAGTAACTCTGCAACAAAGAATGAGCCTCTTCAAAACAAAAGCATGCTTTAAAAAAAAAAAAAAAGTAAAGCAAACAGTGAAAATAAGGGCAATAAAGGTGAATAACCCTTAACTCCTTGATGATTTTTGGCATATTCTATGTAGCCCACTTTAATCGATATCTGGGTTAGACCATCTTGCTTAGAGCCTTTTCCTTAATAAATTTGGTGTATTTTACTGATTCTGTGTTATACTGAATTGAACTTATCCCATTTAAGTCACATTTTGGTTTGGAGTCTTGCAATAGATTAATGTTATTGATCTAAATTCAAACTTTGGGGGGAAAAAATAATAAATTTAGTTTGGATAGAGTAATATATAGCTACTTTATTATCCCCTAAAACTGTTACCATTATTTTGCTCCCTTTAACACTGGCATTTGATCAAACACCATAGCCAGGAATCTGTCATGAACACTCAGATATTTATTCCTAATTCACAGTGCATACAATTAGGGTATTTCCTAAGTTTCTAAGATTTATGAGTAAAACTGTTGTATGGTCTGTTAAAACCAATCTCTTTTGAAAACGTCTTTCACGGGAGTAAAATATGGGTTAAAAGGCACAGACGGAGACATCGAAATACCCCAAAAGGCTGGTTCAATTGTTTTTCGTTTTTGGAAGAAAGAGTATCAATAGATGACAGATATCAAAACATACAAGACTTCTTCAAAATTAAAGGAAGGTGGATTTCAGAACTTGGAGGAAGCATAGCAAACAGTCTGTTATTCAAAACAGAGCAAGAAAGTGGAGTACTTGTGTTCATTTTATTACACTGACTATTAAAACACATCCCATTTGAAATCAGTTACAGACAGTATGCATTGTCAACCTGCAGAAGACAGAACCAATTACAGAAGTGACTGAGTGCAGAATACAGAAGTGAGTGTACTTTCAGAAGTCAAACCGTGGAAACTGTGCTATTAATTTCTTCTATATTCAGAAGCTTTTGTTTCATTATATATTTGCCTGTCTTACTGTAACAATATTCTAAGTTTAGTTAAGTTGTCTTCAAAATCATGTTTGGGGCATTATCTCCAGCTGGAATTTAATTTTTAAGTCAACAAATTGTCAGTACAGACTTCAGCTTAATTCATTTTTGGATGCTTTTTGAGCATTTGTTTTTCATTCCACAATTAGATTAATGCTAGAATAATTTCCATCCAGAACACAAAATAATCTGTTTCTAAACAAGATTTCCAATACAGAAAGATTAATTTTTTTCCAAGTGTGGCATCAGAACATTAAAGTACACTAAAACTATCAGTATCTACCATGCTAGAGTAAAGGCATGGAAAAAATCCCACAGTTTTTCAGTACTTACAAGGCCACTTGGATCTACTCATTATAAAAACATGCATTAATAATTTTGCTTGCTGTTAGCCAAAGTTAATATTCATCTTAGTAGTGAAACTCTGATTTCAATTATCAAAAACCAAATTATCCTGAGTTTCAGAATGTTGGACAAGCATGAAAAAGACTCAGGAAATAGCTACATAATTTGTCTCCTCTTTTTCAGAAACTATCTCTGCTCATACTTTAACACAGTTTTCCATAAGAGTAAAACACAGTTAGCAAGTTATGTGTTTACTTCTGAACCTACTTCTGGTAAAAGCTATTTATTCCATCAGAATTTGGAGCAGAGATGGTGACTTCACTGCCTAAAGAACAGCAAACAAAGTGTCTTACTTCTCAAAAAAACTGACTGCCTGCTCCTGACTTCAAGTTGAGCTGTGTATCCTGATATACATCTGAAATTGGTATCTATTTATTTATATAATTTATATATATTTATACAAACTTATAACTGCCAATTACCATACTGTGTTAGGTCAGTACCAGACATCTTTATTGCAGGTGAAAGTTATTTTCAGACTCTGAATAGACAATGCAAACTCAGTATTTCATTATAACCAAGGAAAATATACTACAGAACAAGGAATATTTTTAAGACATACATATAATATGAAACAAATTGCTTTTGAAAGTACTATTAAAAAAAATAATTAATTTTTTATTTTATAAGAGCTCATAATCTTATCAAATTTTTAATGATTTATTTATGTTGAAATGCAGTATTATAATCACATTTCAGATATGTAGCTTTAATACCATCTTCCTATTTTTCTCTGAATAAATTGTTCTGAGATATTCTGATCTTCTCCAAATCTTCAAATGTGAGAGGTCCTTTTGGCAATTCTAGCAAAGTGCTCTGTGTATCAAGTATGTTCTCTGCTTCACCTATTTAAAAAAAAAAAAAAAAGTCAATTTCCTCAGCCTTACAGACAGAAAGCAAAGAATGAGGAAAAAAACATAAGAAACTAATTTAGCTACTCTTGTTTGGACCACATTAGCAAAATAGCATGTCTTAGCTATGTATTTCACAAACAATCTGATGTCAATATATCAGCAAAGTTGTCTCTAAGGAATTTTGGACCGGTGGGGTAATTAGGAATCTGAGAAGAAAGTGGATCAGACAAACACATGAAGGTGTACACATAAGTTTAACAAGTAAACACAGTGCCACAGACGTACCGTATTTGGGCACAGTTTTTCTCGTGCCTCAGGACTAGCCTGAAAAGTGTCAGAATGTGGGCAGCACAGGACTTGAAGAAGCATTGGTCAAAGCACACTGCTCACAAAAATATTTCCTAAGACAGTTACTGAAACATGAAGCATAGCAGGGAAAAGTTGTAGAGTGCAAAATGCTCTGGGTAAGCCTGGAATGAAAACTTCTAGGACAGAGAATCCGAAAAACAAAGATACAGACTGAACATCATACACAGGTTGTGGTGGTCTGATTGTGATATAAGAAGAAGATTAGCCAAAGAATACATTTGTTTTGGCTCATGCCATTTGGCACCATGCCAAAAATCTTGTTTATCTATGCCTTAAGTCCCAGTTTGGTGATTCTTATAGCAGTGGCTTGAAACTGTTTGAAAATTTATGTGTGATCAGCCTGACTAAATATTGCAATGCAGTCAAGGCTGCAGTTATTCTAGAGAGGAGGTCTGAGTGTTGACATCTCCCAGCTGTCATTGGTATGCTCCTACAGTGCCCGGGACCATTGGTAATATCCAACACTGGTTACCACTCCCACAACATCAGTCATTTGCATATAGCATCTGATTATGAACTAGCAAGAGATCCTGGGGACAGAGATGTAGATAGGCAATTCTCTGTGTCTGTCCCTCAGATGTACTAGAGGATATTGCCTCACTCAATGCTCAGGACATAAGAAATCAGCTATCTAAATCTTAGAAAAGGTAGCCAGAGTTCCATTGCTTAGTGGAGAAGTTGTGTGCAATTAGAGGCTGGCCATAAAATCTCCTCCAATAATTTGTGTGAAAAACACCACAAGCGTGTGCTGGACTGGGAGGAAAAGCAAAACAGCAAGGCCATGAACACAGATAGCAGGTCCGTGACTGATTCTTTGTGTCCTCAGAGGTTTAGAACACATAGTTTGATGGCTGTTCTGTAACCCTGACACATCCAAAAGATTAGGTCCTGATACACAAGTCTGGAAACTTAGGGCTTTCCAACAACACAAGCAGAACTTAAAACAGCTATTTCCCTCTATGTTGTCAGTTTAGAATTTTAATTAGCCCAAGCTATAAAGTGGGAAAAAATACCCTTCTGATATTTCAGTGTGGAAGACTACTAAAATAATGAGATAATTCTTGGTCAAGTAGGCTAGAGACAGAAGAAAAAACTGTAAACAAGATCAGAGATAAAATGCCTAATGAAAGAGAAACAATGAAACCTTTCAGGGGTATAAAACAATTCCAAAGGATGGAAGGCAGCGTATGCAAACCTATGTGATCAAGGTGGCTCAGATACAAGGTTCACCATGCAGCACAGAAACTGCAAATTATTTTAGGAGAGGGAATTGGCTATGAGGTTGATGATAGGTATACCCTGGAGGAAAGAGACTAGATAAAGAAAGAACAGTAAAGAGAACAGCATATATGTTCATTATTACACCAGACAGGTGAAGCACGGCATGCACCAACAGAATAAATAGACAATCAGAGAAGTGGTTGGCAAAGCCATGGGAGTGAACATGGGGATCAGCTGAGTATTGAGAATAAGTGTTGTGGCTGCAGGTCAATTGTGTCATAATACCTTCCCTTCAACTACGTAATTTTAACCTTAAAATAAAAATGAACTCCTGAACCTCATTTCCAGACCAGATTCAGTCAGGCTATTCCACTTCCTTTTAATCTAGTGCTGATATTGGTAATTAGTTTAATTTCCTTCTCTTACTTTCCTTTATTCCATCCTTTAAGTAGGATCTGTAGACGCAAATCTGTCATGTCTTTTTACAAAGCTAAACAAATTAATCACTTTTTTTTCTCTTGCAAGGCAGCTTGTCATTCCCAATAGTTTTAGCTCTTCAGTGTAATTCCAGATTCCCTTTACAGAAGTGATCTAAATTGCATGTAAATTTCCACAGGAGTTATTTTCCTACACCTTCCCATCTGTACTCTTGTACTAAGGTTGTGAAATATGCATCCCCAGAGATATTCAGAAGCCTTTTGGACATTTTTCTGGGCAATTTGCTATAGATGATCTTGTCTGATCATCTATAGCATCAAGGGGGCTTGGACCAGATAATCTTCAGAGATCCCTTCCAACCTCAGCCATGTTGTGATAGTAGGAAACCATGCTTGATGTTTCTAGACTTTGCTCAACTCTCAATTTCATCACACTATTGGATTATACTCATTCTGTGAGCATTGGCATTCAAGTTTTCCTTTTTTCTACCATTTCCATCTGGTGAGCTCTGGTGGCAGAAATCCCTATCAGTCCCTAGTTTTTTCTGACATTATCAAATTGAATCCTATTTTGTTGTCTCATTTCTTCAGACCATCAGCTATCCTTGCACTACAGTTTACTTCTTCTCTGTTGATGAACTTAATCAAGTTTGTCAACCAAAGATTTGATCAGGATAACCTAGTCATAATTTCAGCTATAACACAAATGAGATCCAGGCCAAATATTGAGGAATATTGTTAATAACCCTGCTGAAGCCTAACCTTCCTTTTCAAGCACAAAATTTGGTATCATTTCTTTATTCCCATGCTTACCTGTCTATTAATTCCCATGTCTTTCACATTAACTTAATCTTTAGGTAATACCACATCAAATGCTTTCATGAGTTCATAATGGATCTACCACATTTCTTCTGTCCAAAAAAAAACAAAACATTCTGGAAAAGACAGAGTTAGTTTGGCATATTCGATTTTATTTTGTATTCAGCTCCACGGTTTCTTTTCTGCACAACACTTTCACAAGCCTTTCCAACTGCTGAAGCTCTCCTAGCAGATCTGAAGGGATGAAGACAACTTCCCATTTGGAAAGCAATAGGACACCATACTTCCCCTCTTCAATCTGTACACGACCGCACGGTACACAGTAAACACATTACATACAAATCCTAAATTCCAAGTGCTAATTCTGCTCTGTGTGTACTAATCTCCCTTTCAACACCTTGATTTGCAAGAACTGCCCCTTCTTCCCTTTGCTTAGCTTCATATTAAATCATAGCTTCATATTAATCCCTTCATATTAAAATCCAAAGAAGTTTGTTGAATGCTGTTGAGGAATGTTCACAGGTATACACTCCTGCATCACCTAAATGTATTTGCACCTGCATGCAGCAGAAACTACAACAGATTTTGTCTAATTAACCTACTGCTATTTTCAGTGAAGCATACAGAGTCAGGAAACCGAAGGGCTAGATCTGGAGGCTAAAGATCAAGAGGTGAAACAGATTTTTATTTTGTTTCAATATGGTTGTGCCAGTAGCATACAAGACAAACAAGCCAGTTAACTAAGACAATTTGTGAAGGTAACAAGCCATGGCCCAATGCTGTCTTCACCTGCAGTCAACACTCACTGAGCCAGTCTCCTCCACTAGGAATCAGAGTTAACATAAATGCATCTCCATAAATTTTAACACAATGTATATAATTTCATCACATAGACAAGGGACAACTGTGAAGCAAGACCCTGCTTTCTGGGACTCACCTTTCTTCTTCAGTCTTAGCAGGACACTGCAGTGATGTCGTCACCTGACTACTGTGTTTGGTCATGAAGGTGTAAGGCTGTGATTCATGTCTGCATTCCTTCATTTTCTAATCCCTAACTCTTTCCCCAAAAAACAGCATTGGAGTGGAATTCAGAAGGAAATCACTAGATCTGTCATTTCTCCCAAATATGCAATTCTTACATCAGCTGTATTTATAAGCTTAGCATTCAAATATTTTGAAACAAGAGGAGAAATTGACAGTCTTAACTGAAAAGAAGTGCTGTAAAAGTACAGTGAGTACTCTTGACTAGCAAAATATCTGATTTTAACAGAAGATAAAAATGAGACGTAATATTTCTGTCAAAAAAACCCCAAACATCTACTACAAGTTTTCTCCTAGCCATTGAAAAAAACATAACAGGTTAACTGAAGCTTGGTTCTACATGAGAACAGCACAGACTTACATACCTTTGATCCTTTGCAACAGTGTCCCATAGCCCACATCATAATGATAAGAAAATACAAAGCTTAAGGGAAGTATTGGCAGTAAAACTGCTGGGTTCTTCCTTTTTATTGCTCTGTGCAAGAAAAAAGAAAAAAAAAATTATTTAGCATATTCAGCGTATCAGCACTGTTACTTTAGGCTGATCTTAACTGTGTAGACTTTTGTATATTTCTGAAGTCTCTAACCAAAGAACAAGTCGTAATTTTTTGAGAAACATTTGTCTTCTGGTTGCCTTCTTTCTCAACCCAAGAGTATTTTAAAAATGCAATTCTGATTTTTGAATATATCTAACGATATGATCTAACTCAGTTAGCATGCATGTGCAGTCACATATACCCAGCCACTTGCAACATCTAACAATGTAGATTCTATGTTCATTTCCAAATGCATCCGGGTCTACAGAGAACCCATAAAACATAAAGTGCATTTAATCTTCACCATGTACACAAACCCAAAAATATTTCCTACATTCCCTCTAAACATGTTACAGCACAAGAAAAACATACTATCAACCAAAAGTACTGTAGGGCAAGTTCTTCCCTATGCAATATAGCTTTATTAGACAAGCTTCTTTTTCCCTTGGATCAGTTGATTCAAATTTAAGTGACTAGACTTCAGAATATGTCCACTTGTTCACTGCATTTAAAAAATCCTGATGGAGGATATGCTACTCACTATCTGTTCATTAAATCTCAGTGCAGACAAAAAAATAGCATGGGTTTTAAATACTCCCCTTCCACACACAACTTTTATTTTACACTTTTGGTACTTCTATTTTAGACTTTTGGTACTTCAGATATGTCATTTTATTGTCAGCTCATGTCTCTGCTTTGAAATAAATCTGCAATACAGACATAACCAAAACACATTCAGAAGCAGACAGAATTCAGAGTCCATTTGTCGTTTGAGCAATCTCTGAGCAATTACAGATAAAAATAACTACCTGCTGTAATGCAAAAGCAAGATCCAGAAAAATAGAAATATATAATTTAAAATATTATAATTTTATAATTATAATTATAATTTAAAATATATTCATATCTTCTGTTAGGGAATAAACTTCATACCCAGTTGTTAAAACAACAGCAGCAAGTCCAAAAAATGTCCCAAAGTATTTGAGAAATTCTCGTGTCCAAGCAATCTGCATGGCTGTTTGTCTCTCTCTCATTAGGTTCTGCAGTACTAGTTGCCTTTCCAGCTAAAGAAGAGAGATAGGTTAAACAAAATTAAGTAATCCATATATTTTAAGATTGACTCAATCTCTCAGTGGTCTATAAATCCAAAACACTAACTAAGAAGGCAATCTTTCATGGCTTTTGATTGAGAATGGTCTTCAGTAATAGTTTACACCAAGAAAGCATTTAGGTCAATTAGCAAAACTTTGATGCAGAATATTTCTAAATGTGCTTCTCAAGGTCCAGACAACCAAAATTGCAGTGTTAAGTTTAAGAGGTATCAAAGTCCCAGCAGGACTCTCTAGATTAAGATTCTCTGACCTTTGCAGTTCCATGGTGATGATCCATAGAGTACCCGCATTACCAATTCATTCTGCTTAATTCTAATCTAGTTGTAGTAATTTTAGAGTGAATCTTGACACCTCTTTGCCATCCTCATGATGCATCATAAAGCTAATAACTCTCCTGAAACACCACCATTACAAATATAGAAAAACACTGAAGACAACAGATCTTTTATAGATCCTGAATATATATCAAAAGTCCATAAGGAAATACTTCTGTAACTAAAATTAAAACAATAATGTAAAAAGTACAATCTAGTCAATAGATTCACATGTCCAAGTAGGACTTTCTCTAGTAAGAAGAATAAAATAGTAGAATAATAAAAAAGTAGACTTTTTTTGTTGGTTTTTTTTTAATTACATGCCCTGTCTAAACCTACTGTTACATTTTCATTAAGTAAGGTAAATTCTGTATTTCTCAGAAGTTCCTCTCAACTATACAGAACACAAAAAAGAATTTCCTTCTTAGCGTGATGAAAAATAAGAATTGTGCAAAAATAAGCAGTCTGAAACCAGAGTGGAGAAGTTAGTTACCAGAACAAAAAGAAATCTTCTTCTATAAACAGCAATGTTTATAACTCATGTTGTGGGGAAAAAAACTGAGTACATGGGTTTGTATGTCTAGGCTAGCTAACCAAGTTGGATGAAAGTTCAACAAGGTACAGGAAGCAGAATACCAGCTGCCTAAAAGACTGTATTCTAGGGAAGAAAGAACAAAGAGTGAATTCAGAAAGTTCTCTTCTAATGAATCTCTAAAAGTAATTAAATATGTTCTTTTCTCCAGCTTTCTAATTCAAGAATAATTTAAAGGATTTGTAATTACTTAAGGTTTCCACCCATTTATTCATCTCCATTACTATTGATTTAGCCTGAACAGAACAATTTCTGTTAAATTGTTACTAATTATTTCCTCAGATTATGTTGATCTTGCTATCTTATTTACAAGTTAATTCAGTACCTAGATAGGTAGAAATAATTTTGAGATAGCATAATGAAAAAAGGACAGATCTAATTACATATAATTGTACACAGTAGGAAAAACAACATTCACTATAGTCTCACAGTACTATTGCATCTGTTTCTCTTTCCTCAAGACTTACATTGCAATTGTTGTTCTCACAAAAAATATCAACAGGCTTTACCTTTCTGATAGCCATAATTTTCAGATTTCTTTGTTTTGTTTTGTTTTATTTTTTTCAGAAGAAGTAATTATATAATGGCTGACAAACCACTTAATAAAATATCAAAATAATTAGATTTTATTTTGTCACCTACAAGACAGTTGGAAATTCTAAAGTAAACAAGTACACTGCCCATTAATTAGACCCATTTTGGTCCCAGATATCCTAAGCCTGGTAAATTGCTGAGGGCTGACGTGGTAAGATAAAATAATGACATGTAATATCCTTTTAATGACTTTATTTTCATCTTCAGTATGATTATAGGTGTAGCTTCCACATATGTGGAAAGTATTAAGGGATCCTTTGTTTGCCTGTCAGCACAGAAAAGGGCCTGTGCTTCTAAGATGCACAGTATTACCCTAAATGAGCTTCAATTTGGAGAATCACATGGTAAGGAAGTGGGACAAGGATATGCTGGTGAAATATAGGTCCTGCTAAAGGGAACAATGGAGAAGAAGAAAAGCAGACAGTTCAACAAAATGCACAGTGTTTAGAAAGAAGTAAGCATGGCATAAAAAGGAGGCTGTAAGTTCAGACTTAGAAAAGTAAACTAAAGGATCCTAACATGATTTCTTTAAAAACAAATACACACACACAAAAGCCCCGAAAAAAAACCCAACAAAAATCCCCTCACACTTGTTATTCTTTGACAGCTCTTTAAAACCCAAGTGCTGAAAGAAAAAGATAAGTCACCAGCAATAAAGTCAAACAAACACCATGCTGCAGGAGACTGTCATATCAAATTCCAGATGCCCAAGGGTACTTCCATGTATATCTTCAAGTGGTTCATATAAATAACCTACTACAATCGAAAACAACTTGTTTTCTATATTATAGACAGATAACATTATCAAACATTTTTCATATTCTTTTCTAACTAGATATTTTTTCTTTCACTTGAGATAAACAACCCTCAGCTTTCTCCATCCAAAAACAACTGGTGGAATGAAATGCATAGAAAAATGCCTGTAATTCCTTTCCACTGAGCAAGCTTCTTCCATCTAGATGTAGAATTTTAACCAAATGAAACACAATACTGTATTTAAGTTCTTCAAACAAACAAAAAAAAAAGATGTATTGGAGGGAAATTTAAGAATTATGAATCAGAGATGAACATTCTCTGTGTACATGGGGAAATGTGACAGCCAAGAAACAATGGTTTCAGAGGAATACTAATCCACAGGTCTAGTGACACTTGGCTAAAAGAACAATTCGTGCTCTTACTGAAGTTTTTGTCCATAAACTTCAGACGTAGCATGAAGAAAGCCCTGAGATGTGTTTGGGGATGCTAAGTAAGCTACAGTACTGATGCAGAGATTTGTAAACCAATTTTTATTTAGTCATAATTTATGCAGAGAAAACTTAATAACAATACATGCTCATACACAGAACATGTGCTCCAAAATCCATTTGAACTTATGTGGTTTTATGTCAAATCCAGTATTACTTCTCTCAAATGCCAAAAGTTTCCTTTCTTCTGTACTCCTTTATTCCAAAAAACATCTTCATTCATGCTTTCTGTTTCCAAGATCAGTTTTGTTACTTGTTATAGTTTCATCTTGCAAAACAATAGACTATAGTGCTGCAGCTGTTAGGATTACAAGAGGAATCTGATTAATGAAAAGATTTAGTTTAAGTGTTCTAAGTGCTCCAGGGCAATTCCACAACTCCTCTGGATTTCAAACTCTCCTTAAGGAAAAAGAAAAACTGAGCAACAATTATGGCCAAAGTTGTCCTGCTACATAGTGTTTCATCACACAAATAACACCTACTGGAATAACCATAGGAAAACCAGTTTGGAGTACACCTGAGCTCTTTTCAGGGACCTCTGTAGCCACTGTGTAGCACAGCAGGGAACACCTCTCTGGCATATACAAAGCAGACAAAAGACAGGGTGCCTGCCTACCCTGTGGCATCAAAAACTACTTTAGCATGCCCAAACCTGACATCTGATCAGTTAAAAGCAAAGCTTGACTGTAAAAAGTATATACCTTTAAATTAATTTTGGATGCTCTAAGTGTCAAAATTAAACACCTTGCCACTCAGGCAACTCCTCTGAACTAGTCTTTTAAAAATTAAAACAATTAATGGGCAATATCCTTATGTTTGCCCATTTAACATGCCAATCTTAAATGAATATCTGTAGCTTGAGTAGTTCTGAATGACCAAGATATACTGACGTGCTGGCTTTACACTGGCGATCAACTATTGGTAGATCTTAAGTCAAAACCAAAGCCTTAAGAAACTGCCTGAAGTTGACCTTAAGCAAGTCAGGATTTGAAAACATATATATATAGGAAAAGACTCGGGAGTCTACCACAAAAAATGATTCGAAATTAGAAGAAAGAAAACCAAATCAGGTTTGACTGCAGTTCAAATCAATATCCCATTTCCAGCTGTTAATTTCCTAGTAATTGTGTCTTATTTTCCTCTGCATGTGTTCTATTGAAAATGTCAGTCACACTGGGATAGTGAAAGACTTTGATCTATTAACATGCAGATTTTATTAAAAACGCCAAGTTCTACTTTCTCAGAACTTACAATAATTTTTAAAATTATATATTTTCTCATTACAGCAGAACAGAAGTAAGAATTAAGAAGAGTAGGTATTCATTTTCACTGCAAAACATTTTATAGAATTTTACAGGTAATAAGACCTAATAAAAGCATATCATTCAGCAGAGATGGGCTGATGTTTATTTAGAAAAGTCTTACTGATGGGAGAAGCTGAGTATTGAGAAAGCAAGCCACAGGTGCACATCACACATATCAGGTGAACAACCATTCACCATCCAAGTGCCATGTCTTAGGGAATAAATTCTAATTCATTTTAATTACACAAAGGGCCCATCTATATAGCCATAAAAACTTCAGTAGGAATGGTTCACGTGACTATACTTGCACTAAAAACTACAGATAAAGGGTCTCAAGTGCACCTTTAGCACAGGAGGAAGAGAGATACTGTAATTTTCCTAGCCAGGTTGCTGTGCATAGCACAAGAGAACTGCAGCTGTGATGTGGATACATGGGTGGACATCCAAGCATGCTTTTCAACTACTTGTATCCTATAACAATCAGACCATGATTTTATAGACTCATATCATATCATATCATATCATATCATATCATATCATAGCATAGCATAGCATATCATATCATATCAATACAATTTAATGAATTAATATCATAATAAAAAAGTGACAATAGCAACTTCCATTGGCAAAAAGTATTGATTGCATAATTTTAAAAATTAGGTATAGTATTCCAAAATAAATGGGTACTAGTAGCAAGTGACATTTGAAATTTTATAACACTCTCAAGAGGACCCAATTAGAAATAACTTTCCCATTTTTTCTTTAAATATGGCTAGTAGTTTCTCAACACTGTGTAAGCAACTGTAAGGGCTGATTGGGATTCTGAAGTCTGCCACATACAAACTGTCATAGTAAAAGGAAATCAATGTTACAAAATGAATCATGACAGATGAAGAGAAGTGAG